GCACACCCCCCCTTCCCACCTTCACCCCACAGCCCACTCCCCTCCCCCACCGGTCAACGCCCACCCAATGCAAACCCGCTCTAAGGCCGGTGTTTTCTGCCCAAAACAAATCTTAGACCTCCACGCCACCACCTCCATCTCCCCTTTACCCCCAACTTACCGTAGTGCTATGAAAGATCCAAACTGGCATGCTGCTATGTGTGATGAATATAATGCTTTGTTAACGAATGACACATGGGAACTAGTACCCCCCTCCCCCAACCAAAACATAATCACCGGTAAATGGCTCTTCCGACACAAATTTGGCCCATCCGGTGAGCTATCCAGGTATAAGGCCCGATGGGTGGTCCGTGGATTCAATCAGCGTTTTGGCGTTGACTACAGCGAAACTTTCAGCCCCGTCATCAAGCTTGCCACGGTCCGAATCGTCCTTAGCCTCGCGTTGTCTCGTGGGTGGCCCATCCATCAGCTCGATGTCAAAAATGCCTTCCTCCATGGAAAGCTTCAGGAAACCGTGTATGCTAGCCAGCCCTCAGGATTTCAGGATGCAAAGTACCCTCATCATGTCTGCCGGCTCAAGAAAGCTCTTTATGGTCTGAAACAGGCACCCCGGTCATGGTATCACAGATTTGCAGGTTTCATTCAGACTATTGGATTTCGCAGCTGCAAATCTGACACTTCTCTTTTTGTCTTCACGCATGCCTCGGGGACCGCCTACCTCTTATTATATGTTGATGATATCGTCCTCACTGCCTCCTCGCCAGGGCTTCTTCAGAGTCTCATTCAGAAACTCAAGGCTGAGTTTGCCATGACAGACATGGGTGATCTGCATTTCTTCCTCGGCATTAATGTTCATCGCACTACTCATGGCCTTTTCCTCCATCAGACACAGTTCACTCATGAGATCCTTGAGAGGGCAGGGATGGTCTCCTGCCGCCCCATATCCACTCCAGTCGACACCAAGGCAAAGCTTTCTTCCTCTTCCGGCACGGCACTTCCAGATCCTTCTCTTTACAGGTCCATAGTTGGTGCTCTACAGTATCTCACATTCACCAGACCTGACATCACTTATGCCGTTCAGCAGCTCTGCCTACACCTTCATGCGCCCCACGACTCTCACCTCACGGCCATGAAGAGAGTTCTCCGTTATCTTAGCGGCACTGCCACTCACGGTATCTACCTGACTCGCTCCTCGACAGACTATCTCCAGGCTTATTCTGATGCTGATTGGGCTGGCTATCCCGACACCAGACGCTCCACTTCCGGGTACTGTATTTTTCTGGGTGACAACCTGATTTTATGGTCTTCAAAACGCCAGGCCACCACTTCCCGTTCCAGTGCAGAGGCAGAATACCGGGCTGTGGCAAATGCAGTTGCTGAGACTTCTTGGGTACGAAATCTTCTTCTTGAGCTCCAGCAACCACTACGACGCGCCACCCTTGTCTTCTGCGACAACGTCAGCGCCGTCTATCTCTCATCCAACCCAGTTCAGCACCAGCGCACTAAGCACGTTGAAGTCGACATACACTTTGTGCGAGACAAAGTAGCACTCGGCCATATTCGACTCCTTCACGTGCCCTCCTCTTCACAGTATGCTGACATCTTCACCAAAGGTCTACCTTCTCTACTCTTCCTCGAGTTTAAGTCCAGTCTGGGTATCAGACCCCCTCCTCATCCGAGCATCGGCCCTCGTACAATTTATATAAGATATAAATTACATTTATATAACAAAGGATAATAACAGAGGATGGAACATATCCTAATGGAATATATTGTTTCCTATTATTGACTCCTACCTTGTATAGGATTAGGAACTCTTATGTATATATAGACATGTACTCCCACATATTTGATCAATGAAATTAACCTTTCTACACATTTGTTTTATTTTGTAGGAAAGAAGTGGGAAGTTTCCTTTGTTGTATTTTTTTTATCATGTAATCATGTTTGTTGTATTGTTTTCTCCATTCCATGGCCTATATATTTCGGCCCTGGTTCATTGTATTAATCAGCTTGTAAAAATATATTGTGATAATATAAGTTTCTTGCTCGGTCTCTCTCTAAATTCTATATATTAAATCCTAATTCTATATCTTAAGAGTGGTTCTCTTAAGTGGGAGTTTTAGGTTCTAGATATATTAAATAAGTTGAGTGATTCCTTATTTAAATACTAGAGTTTAACCCGAGTGAAGATAAGTGTGTGTGATTCCTCTTATATTCACTTGATAAATGCTTCTTTCCCTCTACTTTGTTTCCTCCTGAATTCAGCCTCCCCTATATTTCTACATCCTTCTCTCCTTCTTCCTCTTCTTAAGTTGATATCCTAGACTACCCCGGGTCTCGGGTACAACATTTGGTATCAAAAAGCTTGTTGTTGAACATCTCTTTGAGGACCACAAACACTTCCCTCTCATTCTCTATTTCTCTCCCAATCTTGATCCTAATAGCATCGATAATCGATTATCAAACTCAGATAATCGACTATCTTACCTTGCTGAATTTTCTTCACATCACCAACTACACCCCTCTTTCCCTACACTTAGTTCTTTTAAACCATGTCTCACACAACTCAAAACATGTCCCAAGAAGAGCTTATTGCTTCAAATGCAGAATTAAAGGCTCAAGTTGAATACTTGGTAAAAGAAGTGGCAAAGCTCACTAAATTCAAGTTGAGTATGACCAACGTCACCATTAGGCGTAGAAGAGAAAACAAGTCCCCGGTGACCTCGTGGAACAAGATGCGAGCACTCGTGAAGAAGAAGTTTCTGCGCGAGAACTACATACGAGAAAACTTTTCTAAGCTTCAACACTTGAAGCAAGGCTCTCGTTCTGTAGAGGAATACAACCGAGAGTTCGAGGAACTCTTATTAAGGTGTGATCTTCAAGAAGACGATTCACAAACTTTTGTGAGGTATCTATTTGGATTGAATGTCCAAATAGCTAACACTGTGGAACTTCAAGACTACCACACTCTTGACGATCTTACAAAGCTGGCTCTCAAAGTGGAAAGTCAAATCAAGAAAGGCAAGGCTGCCCAAATGAGAATCTCCTCTTCAAATCCACCTTTGCTCCCCACCCCTTCATCTCCTTCACCTTCCCTAGCTCCTTCCTCTCACCATAAACCCATACTTCCAACCCCTCCCTCAAATATCCAAAATCAACCCCGGCCCAATCAAAATATCAATCGAACTCTGAAATGTTATCGTTGCCAAGGGAATCGTCACATAGATCAAGATTGTCCCAATAAGAAGGTCATGACTCTTGTGGAGTGCAATGATGATACTTTTGACCCTTCATGGGATAAAGAAGAAGAAGAGTATGTCGGACCTGATGATGGAGAGCTTTTGGTCATTCGTAGAACTTTAAGTGCGATGGCCTGTCCAAAAGAAGAAATACAACGAGAGAATATCTTCCATACTCGTTGTACAATCCAAGAAAAGGTGTGCTCTCTCATCATTGATAGTGGGAGTTGTACGAATGTTGCCTCTAAGACTATTATGGTGGATAAACTCCTGCTGAAAACTTCACCACACCCGACACCATACACGATTCAATGGCTGAATCATGGTAAAGGGTTACGTGTTGACACTCAATGCTTGGTGTCACTAAGTCTTGGGCAAACCTACAAGGATGAAATATGGTGTGATGTGATACCGATGAACGCTTGTCATGTGCTGCTCGGACGACCTTGGTTGTTTGATCGCAGGGTTCTTCATGATGGATACGCTAACACATATTCATTCCTCAAAGACAATAAGAGAATCACCCTTACTTCTCTTCATCCTGAAGAAAAATCTCCCGTTCATCTGTCAACATTGATATGAGCTGGTAAATCTGAATACATAGATGAAACTCGTTGTGAGACGATAGCAATGACTCAAGTCAACCAGCATGTTTGTGGGAACATGAATGTAAACACGAGAGACCTCAATGATCATTCCAAGCCAATTTATACTCCGAGTTTGAGGTCAAACTCTTTTGAAGACGGGGAGGATGTTGTACCCCACCATGCATCACAAAAGGGGAAGAAAAATCAGGGGTTAATGCTTGAGTGTTATAATCCTAATTGGGTTGAATTTATTCCTTTTTCCCATCAAAAAGCCCAACCCTTAGCCCTTGTTGCCCAAAATCCGCCCTAACCAAATCACAACCCACAAACCCTCTCCCACAACATCCAAACTCATTTCCTCTGCCCAAAATAAAGTCTTTGTTTCTCTTAGACATGATAATCGATTATCCAACATAGATAATCGACTATTGCTTCCCTCTGAATTCTCCTAACGTATTCATGCAATGCTCCATAATCGATTATCTCCCAATAGAAAATCGATTATCACTCATCTCTGAAGATATCCAGTTTGGAAGTGATAAGTCCGTTTCTTTCTTATCATTTACATCATATTCTAAACGTTATTGCACGTAAATAGTATTTAATCATCTCATAAAATGTGTTTTCAATGAATAAAACTCTCATTTTTGTTCTAAGAGTCATGAAAAGGGATTCCACATGAAATTATCATAAATCATCCATTTTATGTTCAAATACTTGAGAAAAAGGGAACAAATCATCAAGGGATCAAGATTCGGGCTTGAACGAGCTTCCGGGAGGTCAAAAACAGTGTTCGGGACCAAAACGGAGCAAAATTGGGCCAAAATCACGAAACAACCGCGAAGCCCAACGGACCAAGGCCTCAAGGCGTCCAACTTGGACGCTTGGGAGTTGGACGCTTTGGCTTAATTGCAGCCCAAGAATGACACGTGGCAAAATCTGGTTGGCCAGGACAGCTCAGGCGTCCAGATCTGGACGCTTGGACTTGGACGCCTTGGATTCGTTCATATAAAAATACAGCACGATTCTTCTCATTTTTATCATCCATTCTCAACCCAATTTCGGGTTCCCCTCTCTCAATTGCTTAAAATACTTTGTATATTAGTTTTAGTAGTAGTTTTAAAGTATTTTTGGAGGTTTTGACTCCTGATCTGTTCTGTTCCGCTTTTACGAAGGTTGTAAGTTCCCTTTATTTAATAAAATGATGTTTTAATTTATGTTTGCATAGTATGAGTTAGGGTCCGGACTAGTTTGGTTGTTTATTTTTTTATGTTAAATTAATGTTGGAATGGTTAATCTATTGTTCTTGCCTTATTTAGTTAATTATTCTCGAAAGATTTAATTAACTATTTATTGAGAAAATATTGTATGCCAAAAGACTATGATATTCAAGTACAACGGATTAAGTACAAATCTAGAAATGGAGGAGTAGTAATAGAAATATTATTATTCCAATTGTTAATTTAATATGATAAAATAGATCCAAATGATGTCCAGACCTTATGTTCAGATCTATACTTATACTATGTAAAATTTATTTATTATTTTTACTCTACTCTTTTTATAATCGTTTCGAGAAGACTTTCACAAACCAATCCTAACCTTCGCCTAGTTAGAGTAATTAAACTAATTCCCTTCGTCCACTCCTCGAGAGACACGACACTCGGAGAGAAAACTAACCCTTTATTGGGAAGGTTTACTACCCGAAAAACTACAATTGTCAAATGGCGCCGTTGCCGGAAAGTGGCACGGCATTAGTTTAATTCCTTCTGATTAGCTTGGGTGAAGATTGGTTAGAACGGTCTTCTCACTTCTTTTTCACCAACCACCCGTAATAATTATTATGGATAACCCCAGTGGTTATTACGGTCCGCCTTCTTTCTACCAATCCCCCAACCGCCCTCCGTTTCAAACCCATCCACCTTACCACCCACATCAGAACCCAAATGATGATGACTAATAAGTCAACAATGGGTCTGACTACTATCCCTACCATGAGGAACCACCATATGATATCCCGTCTAGAAACTTTGGATATTCTCCATACCAAGATTCTGATGGAGATAATTATTATGAACCTCATGGTGACCAAGATGACTATGACCAATCTGGGCCTATGTGCGACGATCAATCTGATCCACTCGTCGAAGAGATCATAAGATTAGAACAGAAAATCTTCTATTTCGACGAAGTTTTATTCGCTGAAGGCTCCTGGTACGAACCACCTTACTCCCGTGACTACACTCTGTTTGCTGAAGAACAAATCGAAGCAAACAAGGTGGCAATTCGAGAAAGAGCAAAATTTCTTGAATCAGTCCGGAAGGAAAAGGAGTTCAAAAGGAGATTATGCAAAGGATCAGAGATGATTCAGAAAATGCTGGATGAATTCCAAAGAGAGAGACTAGAAGCTGAGGCTAAGACTGATGAATTAGTCAATGATCTCTGTAAGGCTATTGGGCTTAAGCGCTCCCTCCAATCTCAAGATCAAATGAGGGAGGTTAATGCTCAAAACGAGGCTCTAGAACCTAAGACCAACCCTAAACCATTCAACTATCAGGTTCTAGTTCTAAAAGATTCACCCAGTTTTTCACCATCACAGAAACCCGAGAGCATAACAACTCTTGCTAGGGCTACTGTGGTGATGTTACCTGAATGTCCTCCTAGCCAAGTCTCAACCAGCATAGTCGTACAAGAGGTGGAACCAACTGAGGGACCTGACTCAGAACCACCTAGGCTTATTCAATAAAAGAAGGAGGAGGAAGTTTTGCCTATGGCAATAAACGACCATCTCCTTAATTGTGTTGAAGACACACCTCCAGAGGAACCTGTTCTGGAGGAAATAGAGCCCATTACCTGCCCCCAAGATACCAATGTCCAAGAGTCCGAGCAGGAATTTACAGGCGAGGAAATACTTTGCATAGAAAAGCCAACTCCGTCTATAGAAACCTGTGTACGTAATGCTTCATCTGAAGACTCAGACCAAACCTTCTTTGACTCCCTACATGACGGGTGTGACGATGTCTGCCTGATGGATGGTTGGAGCTTAAGGAGTTGGGATGAACTTCTGATGAGTGACACTGAAAACTCATCCATGGGGGAAAGCACGGTCGTAATCATCAAACCACAAATGGATGGTCAGCCTGTTGAAGATAAGGAAAAAATAAATCTCGCTGTGAAGGCCAATGATGTGGATCAACTGAGGAGACTTCCGCCACCACCCACCTACCTAGAGTATCCTCCTTTTATCCTGTTGCCGCCAAGCCGCAAGGATGAGTCAAGGATCCTGGACCTTGACCGAGCAACAATTCAAACAGGGTGGCATCAGAAGAGAGTCAAAAGGGCCAAACTTTATGACTCTCGGATCGGGAAGTCGCGGAAAAAGTGGGTGAGCGTTGAGCTATGGACGTTAAAGAAGCGCTTAACGAGAGGCAACCCGTCATTCAAATAACTAAAATAATTAAATAAATTCAATAGTTTTATTTGTTAGTTTTTGAGGTTTTGCTTGCCGCACCAGTTTTGGGGGCAAGAGTTATTTTGTTTGTTGTCTTTGCTTTTGCAGATGAGAAAATTGTAGGGCATACCTTATAGTGGGAGCGAAGATGTCTCACCTGGGAAAACACAAGGTTTCTGCAACCTTCGAGGCTTCTTGATCCAACAGGTTGAAGTTTGCTATTGAGAGAATATTGACTTTATCAGTAAAGTCCCTTTTTCTCTACTATTTTGAACATGATTTGGATGCTTGATGATTTTTATTTTGGAATTTCACAACATGACTCTTAAAACCATTTTGAGAATATTTCATGCATTATTTCATATTTTCATGTTATGGTTATCTATTATTTCAATCTTCATCGTTGAATCTTGTAAGTATTGAGATAACTTAGTAATTGCATGTGAGCATTTCAACCATTAACTCCAATTCCAAAATACTATTAACCACGAGGGCGTGGTTCCGTTTAAGTGTGAGGAGGTAAGAGTTCGTGGTTGAAATGATCTTTTTAGGAATTGTTTTGTCTATATATTT